AACGTTTGCATTTAAAAACCACCTAAGTTAATAGTCCCAAAAGGTGAAGCCGGTTGTGATTGGAATTTTGATTTTGATTACGATTTTGATTTCCTTTTGCTTGACACCATATGAGCTTTGGATTTTGATGAGGATTATATTTTGGTAGAGGAAAAGATGATTGTGATGGCACTGGTGATCCACATGTCAACCTTGTATGACCACTTTCCTTGCACCGACTACATGTCGATCTCTTCTTCTCTTCACCCTTAGACGGTATACGATCGTGACTTTTTGGTCGGCCAGGTAGCCTTCTGTCAATGGCTGGTGGCAAAACTATTTGTAAGTCATCTGGTATGTCACACTCAGAAGGATGTGGAATAGGGTAGATAATCTCGGCATAAGTCTGTCGATATACTTCTGTAGTGTAGCAATCCATAGCGTATGCGCTTGAATCATCTTGGTTTAGATGAAGAGCAACTTTTATAACATGGCCACACGGATAACCAGATGTTTGCCATTTCATACAACTACACGTCTTTGCATTTAGATCGACAAGCCCATTTAAGTTATTATCCAGTACTTCAAATAAAGTGTTTGAACATGGTTCAACCTCCATGTCGTTGACTTCACAACACGTTTTGTTATATTTTTTTCAGTCCATGGTGTAACACGATGTTCCAATGTTCCTGTAAATTTAAATAAATAATACTTAGTAAAATATATGATAAGTTACGAATTTAAAGAAATAATACCTGCATGGTTTCTTTTCTTGTAGTACCACTGTTGAATAGAGGCTCGAAAAAACTCCATTAACATAGTAATGGGTAATTTCCGGGAATGACGACTTAGAGCGTTGATTGATTCTACACTATTAGACGTCATGAAACCATATCTTGCTCCAACTTGATGTACTCTTGACCATCTTTCAAACCCGACATCTTCTAGTGTTTGAGCACACTGAGGCAAAACACGTCTTAAACAATTTATATGCTTATTAAAATCCACTTCCCGATAAGCTTTTACAACCTTCCAGTATGTCCATTTGTGATTTTTTATACCAGTAGACCTTGATTTTAGATTTCTATACAAATGAACACCACAAAGTCCATGAAAAGCATCTCGGAAACACCTTCTAACAACGTTGTCAATTGAGTTTTCCCTATCGAATATGATTGTCAGATTGCTAATAGGACCTATGCAATCCCTAAGATGCCCCATAAACCATGTCCATAAATAAGAGGTTTCAGATTTGCCAACCCCGTAAGCTATTGAAAATATCCCATTGTTAGCATCCATGACTACTGCTAATAAGTTTACTCCAAGGTATCGACCTTTCAAATGTGCTCCGTCAACTATAATAACTGTGTGCAAGCAAGTAATAAACGAACGAATCTACAAAATAATATACACAAGAAATATAATCATTTAAATGTGAAATTCATGTAACTAAAAAAAATGAGTCAACAAAATTATATTGATTTACTAACCGCAGCACCAATGGCGATAAACAGCAACTCAAAGCGTCCATCTCTATCTGTTTTGATATGAGTTACCGACCCAGGATTTTTCAGCTTTAAATTGTGACAATAAGCCGGCAGTTGGGCAAACGATGCTTCTGGCGACCCCCTCAACAATTCCAAGGCATAACATTTGGCTCTCCAAGCTTGAGAATATGAGATACTAATCTTGAACCGAGCATTCATGTCAGTCATAATTTCATGTTCCCGTTATACCCTGCCATTCAAAAACATTAACTCAGCCAGAAAACCACCCAACACCTTTTTGTTTGTCTGTCTATGGTGAGGAAAAACTTGGGTTCTTGAACATGTATGTTTATCAATAAAAGTCCTAACTTGAAACATTTCGCAATCTTTTATCCTCTTTGCAATCATACACCACGTACAGTTTTTGTCAATCATATACCTTGTTTCGAAACAATCTTTGCTTGATTTGTTAACTTTTAGTTGATAGCCATCTTCCACACATTTCGTATACAAAGCTATCTTCAAGTCTTCCTTTGTATCAAAACAATCATCTTTCTTGGTACGAATAATTTTTGTGTAACAATCAACTGCTATCTTTACCAACTCTTCTTCCGGTATCTGAAGTAATTCTGGCATTTTCCAGTTATACTCCCGTGGCATTTTCTTCGGGACTTTTCTTCGGGGATTTCTTCTTCTTCTTTTTCTTCTTCAAGGTTATATGAATTACAGAATGGATGTTCAACATGTTCATTCACAGTCGTAACTTCCTCCTCATTATCATCAACAACAACTTCCTCGGCAACGGCTGTTTCATCATCAAAATTCGGGTATTGACCAATATCAAAATCATTACACGCAGGGTCTGTTTCTTCTTCTGAAACATCATCAAAATCTGAGTATTGACCAAGATCAAAGTTCGGGTATTGACCAAAGATCAAATTTCGAATACTGACTAGTACTTACAATTTTTTCTGTTGGCTCATCATCGTCTAACTGGTCAATACGAAAACTGGAATTTGGCGCTGAAAGTTGATTGAGATTTGGATTATGGAAAGGTTGTGGGTTTTGAGATTGTGTTTGGTATTGGAAATGTGGTGAAACAACATTTTCTTGGTGATGAAATTGTGGTGGAACCATTAAATTTTGAGCACCATAAAATGGGGTTGAAAAACTTAGTTGATTACTACCCGCTACTGACCCAACTTCACTACTTCTAGGTTCAACAACATACAATGTAACATCATCTTGCGAAACACTAATGTAAGCAATGAATCGTTCAACATCTTATTGTCGGTTAACAAATAAACTTTACATTTTCTCTGATAAGATAGCCTAAATCCACTTAGGGGCTCTAAATTCAATTTATTTGCAACACGTAACATTAGAGTTTAATAAGTTAACTTTTTTAATGACAGTTTTAGTTGAAGATTCATGGGTAAAGGCATATATTGTAAAACACCATGAACATTCTCCCATGACCCTCCAAAACACAAATCTATCCAAACATGATCAACATTAGACGATTTCATTATTGTAAATTAATTTACTAAACAAACGAGTTGCGAAACTAAAACCTGTTGCCGGATGGGAAAGGATGTCATTGGATATAGGATGTCGTTGGATATAGGAACGGATGTCGCCAGAGAGAGTGATAGATGGAGATGGAATGAGTTGCGATTTAGGGATTTAGGTTATGAGTTGCTGCTGCTGTGTAGTTATATACCCAAAACATTTGTGTTGCGAAACTAAAACCTGTTGCGAATTTGAAATTCAGTGTTGCGATAGTCAGAATCGCGCGTTATGATTATGTATTATCGCGTTGCGATAGTCATAATCGCATTGCGATTTTCTAAAATCGCAACGCGAATTTGGAAAATCGCAATGCGATAGTCATAATCGCGTTGCGATAGTCAGAATCGCATTGCGATTTAGAGATCGCATTGCGATTTTGTTGGTCATTTTGGCAAATCGAAAAAAAGTTGGTCAAAATCGTATATTATAAGGCATTTTCGGTCACTGAGGTTATTTTCTCTATATATATATATTAGTATGAATTATGAAAAAAAATGACAAATAATTGTAATAGGTTAACATGTAATCGAACCATTAATAATGGTTAACCGTTAGTGGTTAACCGTTTCTTAATGGTTAGGTTACGGTTAGAAATATCTCATAACCGTTATAATAGTTAACCGATTATTTAGGCTAAACGGTACGATTAACCGTTTATGAACATCCCTAATGGATACTCATTAATTTTGTTAAATAGACTAAATTGATTACAAACAATAAAATAAAAAATAGGAAAAAACAATATTTTTAAAATTATAATATTATCAAGTTTTCTTCTTTATGTTAGTTAATATGCTCTTAATACAAGATTGTTCAAGTTAGGTATTTTTGTTATTAGGATAGGTGAATTTTTCTAAATTCATCCACCGAAGGAACCAGACATGATAATTTTTTATCATACAGCTCAAGCAAAAGTCAATAGAATAAAACGGATGCAAACAAATACCTATAAAATAAATCTATATGTTATCCCCACGTATATGAATGATTCCCTATGTAAGAAAAAAGCTACCCGATCCATTTTACGAAGTTGCAACTATAAATTCCAAGGATTTCTATTTTTACAGGTAAATGCTCAATACCCAAGTAGGCGTACAAAGTTCTGAGTTGAACGTGATTATATGCTTTCTGAGTCATCTTAGGCATTAGATTCACCTTTATCCAACAAAAAAAATATATTGATATTTTTTACACACAAAGGATTTATTTGTTACTAATATAATCTAGCCTTTAGCTCTTCTCTAGTACCAGTATAATGTCGAAATAGAGTCAATCAACGCTATCTGGCTCAAAATAAAGATTTAATAAAATGGGATTTAGATAAAAAAAAAAGATCAATTCATTACGAAAAAATGATTTTCAAGCAAATTCATTACTTAATCTAGAACAAAAATATAACAAAAAAATTGAGAAAAACAAAGGATATGATTTTTTATCATATAAATCTATTAATTATCAAGATAAAAGCAACTTGCTCATGGATCACCATTCACGTAAATAAGAGGGAAGGGATTTCTTATAATTAGAAAGGGTCCGAAAAAACTTTCTAGTTATAAATTGGGTATAAAAGCAATGGGAGATGCTTGGTTACAATTTCGAATCCGTTATTATATGTTTGCTCTAATTTTTATTGGTTTTGATGTTGAAACGGTTTTTCTTTATCCATGGGCAATGAGTTTCGCTGCATTGGGGTACTTGTATTCATAGAAGCATTCATTTTCGTGCTTATCCTAATTGTTGGTTCAGTTTAAGAATGTCGAGGAGGTGGCTCACAAGCATAAAAAACCAAGGATTTTCAACTTTGTTTTAACTCTCTCTCGCCTTTAGAATTTTTATTATCCAAATAAGGCAGAGGTAACTTGAGTTACTTAACCAACGGGCTGTTGGTTGCCAGTTGCCCTTCCAATTGTCGAGAATGAATCGTTTTTACTGAGTTGATTTATTTCACCATTCTCCATTGCTGACATTTAAGCACTGTTTTTAAAAGGAAAGTATTGTTTTGAACTATTCAAATCACAAGCAGAATCAATGTCCTTTTTCCCCTGCCGTTAACTACAAAATAATAGAAAGGATTAGTTTTTATCAGCGCCTTCGTCAAATGCAGCAGAGTTCACTCGAAAATCCACCTGCTTCTGATGCTTCGATCGCCGGCGTTCATCGAAATCTTCCCACCCTTCAAACTATTCAAAGGAAGGTCTTAATCAGGCATCTCAAATGAGGTCCACTTTAACTAGTAGCTATAATATAGGAATTGAAGTATAACCTCACGCAGGAGATCCATTGTGATTTCAGTGTTGTGGAGATCCAGTGTGGCGAGCTGGAGGCGATGTTTGAATAAGGTACAAGGCAGGGATTTTAGGCCATTATTACTGAAATGCAACGCCTGCAGCCATAGTAAAGACAATGCAATAAATACACTACTTGTAAGCACTTATTTTAAGGAGGGAAAGCTCCAGACATGAAAACCAACTATTTCTATGGACCAGCTACCCATGTGAATGACCTTAATTTGGTGCAAAATTAGTTAAGCAGATGGAAGGGGATTTATTTCTACTTTTCTAGAGTTGCTACAGTTGGCTGAGATTACAACTTTTTAATTGAGGATAATCCATTTTTTATCCGTAAACATCTACTCATTTATTAATGTTAATCTCAATCATTCATTTTCAATCATCCAATAATCCAAGAAAGGTGTAAACTCAAAACTTTCATATTGCGTCAACGGATCCTACCCATTTTCTGAAAGATCAACGTGAAACATATTAAGCAGTTAAGTTAAACTATGCATTTGAATTGTTACGTGTATAATAGCTAGGTTATATTAAAGACAAGGGCCAAGAATCCTACACCTCAACAAGAGACCCACATTCACCAATGCATGCCGGAATAGTGGTTATTCTGAATAATATAAAACGGGTAACACCAACCAAAACACAAGTGAATGTGATTTTATCATGTATTGAAAAGAAGCCTATGTTACAGCCCTTTAATACATCCTAATGAAAACATCACTTACCGATTATTATCGGCCTTCAAAACTTCAAGCCGAGTCAGGAAGCCTATTTCATTTGGAAGGCTAGTCAACTTATTATTGGCAACATGAAGCTGCCTTAGAGAAGTCAGAGAGCCAAGTCCAGGAGGTAAAGTGGTCAACCTGCAGATCGGATTTGACATTAACATTTCTGTTACGTGGGAATGCAGTCAAATTACGAGTAATATAACGAGCAACCTAAAGATTTTCCTACTTCATAGAGTTTGCTGTATTGATCATTTTGTGCCAGTAATAAAGCTCTAATCAAAGACCATGAGCTCAGTAACCCTTGTAAGAACAATGTAGCCCAACAAATAACCAATGAATTATGCTTAGTACAGAGAGCAATGAGGAATTAAATGACACCTGGGAGGTAAGCAAAATGATGGGTATAACATTTCGGGGTGAAAAAAAGCATTTGCAAGGAAATTTGAATATTTGGGGAAAACAAGGTTGTGGAAGCTGGAAATTGAGTTCCCATCTTCGCAGGAGGTGTATGAACCATTTTAATGTCAAGTTTTTCATATGTCTCTTGGAATATTAGGGGTATGGGGAGGAAAAAGAATATAAGAGCAGTGAGGAGTTTGATTTTAAAGAGGAAGACATTTATTGTGTTTCTGCATGAGATAAAATTGGAATCTGTGAATCAAGCGTTGCTAAGGAAGTTTGGTGGGAGAAAATTAAAAGGTTTGGTCTCGTCTCCTTCAGAAGGGGCAGCAGAGGTTTAATTAGTCTTTGGGATGAAAATTGGTTCGAGATGGAGCATCAGTTTATTTTCAAAAGGTTCATAGCAATGAAGGGCAAAATTAAGGATAATAAAGAGGATTGTTGTGTTTTTAATGTGTACGATCCTGCCGTTGAATCAGAAAAGAGAGCTTTTTTGAGGAACTTCTAATTTTCTTATAACAGATGGAATGTTCTTTATGTGGGGGGATTTTAACTCATATTTGTCCTTGGGGGAGAAAGAATGGAAATCACATAACATACATTCAATGAGAATGTTAACAGAGTTTATTTTTTAGGCTAAACTAACAGATCTTCCTTTATCTGGAGGGAATTTTACGTGGTGCAACAATAGGGATTCCCCCGCTTTTGTCAGACTCGACTGATTCTTGGTGGATTCCATATTCTTGAGCATTTATCTAGATGTTGTTTATATTCTTCTCCCTAAATCGCTATCAGATCATAATGTGATTCTACTAGAAATGAATGTGGTTAGTTGGGGTTCAAAATCGTTCAAGCTTTTTAACTATCTGATGGAAGAACATAGTTTTCTGGAAATTATGGAATCAACATTGGAAGAGTTGAAAAAAGATAAAAGGAGAAGAGTAATTGCAAACATGTTAAATGAATCGAAGAGAGTAATTAAAAGTTGGACGAATAATAGACTTCTCTTGCTGTCGGGAAGGATTTTAGAGCTAGAGAAGTATATTTTTGATATGGAGGCAGATATACAATAGGGGTTAAATTCAGTATTGTGTGATGCTATTGTGAAGGCAAAGAAGGATATAACTCCCATAGCTCATATATGTCTCGTAATACGAGCCACATATATCACATCAATTCAATTGACATTTGTTGAACTTAAATACTTAAAATTTTTGTTTCATTTAATATATTCCTTTTTAAATTTAAATTTTTTCATTAATCATATACATTTATAAAATAATGTTTGATCATTGAAAACTAATTTGATTTCAGTCAGTAATTAGGCAGTTCAGTGTTGTTTCATATCCAAATACAACTGCATAATACTGCTTGATTTTAAATCATTTAAAATATAACATTTATACTATTCACTCATAAATAAGATTAATACTAAAATTAGACAAAACTAAATAAAATAACCCTAATTACTATTACAATCCCTTTTAAAATAAATCTGATAAAGCAACCCAACAGATATAATGTACATGCCACTAATAAGTCAAAGTTATGATGTCTTACTAATACTATCGGTAGGTTTGATTTTGCAAAAGATGTTGGCAAGCTATTCACTTCATGACCTCTATTTTATTCGAACCTACGCATGAAAATCATCACACACTAAGTAAAACTTAATGAGAAAGAAATATAACTAAAGTGATATAAAACCATAAATTTCATAATATATAAGAAATAAATTGTAATTTAAATAAAAATATTAAACTTCCAAACGGGTTAGTCAAGCCGTTTTTCCTCCTGAAAATCATCATCTCACATTTTTATCAAAAATCATGTAAGTCATCATCAAATATCATGAATAACTTTTGTTCTTTTCATTCAAACATATTTTCCTTTGTTTTCTATTCTATGTTCTTTTCTTTTATATATTTTCATAATTTTCACACTTATTGTTATAACTCAATGTATATGTAAGAGAATATAAGGTACATGAGTTTAAGGTGCGTACTAGGCACAACACGGTGTCGGATCATAACTGAAACTGTAATATGATGCACTTCAGTGCAATCATAACCTGAGCACCAATTGTGTTGAACATTGGTACATGAATGTACCAAAGCTGAACTGATAACTGAAAATTGTACACTAAATGACATGTCAAATGTACTTATGACTCTCAATGCAACATATAACCGGCTTATATGTATCATCATAGAATCATTTATTAATATGTGTCTGATAACTGTAAAATATCTTATGTCTGTAAATATTTGATAACTGTAATCATCTGATATCTGTAAATATCTGATAACTAAAAATCATCTGATAATTGTAAACATTTAGAATTCATCATCATAAATATCATAATTGGGCAGTTCATACCCAAAATCATTCATAGAACTTGATAAAAAAATTATGGAAATATTTCATACTGAAAATTTATAAATCATACTGAAAAATAAAATGAGGTTAACTTATCGCAAGTCGTCCTCGACTATAATAATCGAATAAACAAACTGCATTCACTTCAACACTTTATTTATTTATTTTTTTAATCAAAATATAAGCCTCACTAAGATTTAGATTTAAATCCTTTGCCTTCCACTATTTTCAATACAAAATTTATCAAAATTTCATATTATGGCAGTTTGCACTACATTCAAACAAATATTATTATGTATTAATTTATATACTGAAAAATTATTCTGTTTGCACCAATAAAAATTAGACTCGAATATGAATCTAACCATATAAGGAACTTTGTCTAGTTCTGCTTGTACAATTTATAGAGAATTTTCAAAGTTAACTAATAAAAGTTGTTTCGAGCATAATCTGCTGCCATGTTTTCTAACCTATCACCTATTAAAAATTCATATCTTTTTTGTATACCCATTGAAATAAGTTTCTATTTGTTCTAAACAAAACTAAATTGATATAATAATACAATGATATAATATTCATTCTTCAATTTTTTTTTTTAGAATTTCTGGTGATTTTCTAAACTTTCTGTTCAGAACATAATGTCTAAGCATATTTCACCAACTTGCATTATTAACTTATTCACTAAATCTATAAGCTTACCAATTGAACATATAGGCTTGAAGTACACTTATCATACACTAGGAGTCACTTCTTAACGCAACTCCGACACTGACTCATCGCAAGCCAATGTTTGTCTCGATAACATAAATACAAGTTAAATGCACTCACCTGGTCTCCTTAGCTTGCAATCTTCCTTAGAATTTCTCATTTCATCCTTAAGTTTTTCCTTAGCTTTAATAATATTTGGTCTTGATTTCAAGAAATCAATCTAAATGAACATCATTACCAAACATATACAAATTTCAGCAAAATGTTAGAATCTTACTAACATAGGCATACTTTGGAAAATAAATTCTTAAGAAATTTTTCAATGCTCATTCTATATAATTTCCATATCACAACATAAATGTTGACCTTAATACTTATAATTGACCACTCAAGTTCCTTTTATCCCAATTTCACATAACATTTTCACTTAAGCTCCCAACATTTCTGTTGAGTTAATCGATTGACGAATATGGCCAAGAGGGGGTGAATTGGAAATTAAAATTTTGATGGAAGCTTTTGCAGAAAATTGAAAGAAATTTACACAGCGATTTAGAGTGATTCGACTTTCTCAACCAAAGTCTACGTCCACTACCTTAGCTATCCACACTAAGGATTTTCCACAAATTCACTCATTTGTCTTTCTTTTGAGGACAAAGAGTAACCTTACAAACCCTCAAGAATTATACCCCAAATTCTTGAGAACACTCTCTCCCAAAGAGAACAATACAAATTTGCAAACTTACAAGGAAATCCTCACAAGGTAGATTGTTTGCACAATTCTAGAACAAAGAAAAGAACACTCAAGAATGAACACAATTGAGCACAATAAGTGTTCTTGAAAGCAAAATGAATATTGAATGAAAAATAGGCTTAAAATGCTCAAATTGAGGTTTGATGCTTTCTCTTTGATTCTCTCTTGATTCTAGTTGCTTGATGTTTCTTGTTATTGATCAATGACTTCTAAGCTTGCTTAAATACACCTTGAATCACTTATGAACGTTGGGGATCATTAATGAAGTTTTTGGAGACGTTTAAGTGTGAAAACAATTAATATTTCTTCTTGGAGCGTGGGGGGAATCGGTACCCCTAATGGGGAATCGGTTTCCTAGGTGTAAAATTCAAATATTTCGACCGTTGAACAGTGGGGGGGAATCGGTACCCCCTGGGGGGGAATCGGTTCCCTCCGAGCATACTGGAATTCTCAGAGCCAAACCATTCAGGGGAATCGGTACCCCCTTGGGGGGAATCGGTTCCCTCTGAGTAATCTAGAATTTTTGGCTTTGAAATGGTTCGAAATATTTTTGTAAAATCGTTTTGAAATTATTTTAAGATTAAAACTTAATTTTACACTTGAGTAAAGATTTAAAATGAACTTTGAAATACTTTGAGTAATATTTTGATATTCGATTTAACATATCGAATATGCTTAGAAAAATTATTTTCAAAATTAAAATTCTTTTAACTTAATTTGTTATATCGAAACATCAAAATGTTTTTAACACTTTCATATTTTTATTTAAACTTCAACTTTTACAAGCATTCCAAAATAATCCAATTTCACATCCTAATTTCAATTCCAACACTCAAACATTAATTTCTAGCATATTACATCAACTATTGAATAATTACACAATAATCCAAAACTTTTCCAAAATTATTGATTGGTCCCCTAATTTTTCAAAAATTATAGAATAGTCCCTAATTTTTTCTAAGGCTTGTAGAATACTTCCTACAATCAAAACCCCAACTTAGTTTCATCAAAATACATCTTTCCCCTAAATTTAGGGTTTGACCAAAACTTTATTTGTTCATATGACCATGTACAATTGATTTTAATCATCAATCATGCTTGGAAATGATTCTACAACCTT